TTATTCCGAGCTCCGCCCACTAACCTTCCCAGGGAATGGATTGAAATCAGGAGGGAGGTACCTAGCAGTGTTAGTGGGGGCCCCCTGGTAATTAAAATAATAATGAGACATTAAGAATAATATAATTTACTTTATTTCTTCTGGTAAATAGCATCGTTGGTAGCATCACTTCACCAGGAAAATTACCAACTGTTGATTTATCAACCTATTAATAGTAACAATCTAATAATTATATTAGTTACGATAACTTTTAAAATAGTCATAACTTCAAAAATTGAAGTCGGAATCAGCTCAAACTTTCTACACAGCATAAGTACATCAATATGTATCAGAAAATGTAATAAAAATTTGGAGTGATTTCGGAGCCATTTTTTAGAAAAAACCATGCGCTATAGCCTTGGGTATTTTGTAGAATTTTGGCATTTTCTTAAAATGGCTGTAACTTGAAAAATTGAAGTCAGAATCGACTCAAACTTTTTACACAGCATAAGGACATCAATATGTATCAGAAAATGTAATAAAAATTAGGGGTGATTTCGGAGCCATTTTTTGGAAAAAACCATGGGCTATAGCCTTGGGTATTTTTCAGAATTTTGGCATTTTTTCTTAAAATGGCTGTAACTTTAAAAATTGAAGTCGGAATCAGCTCAAACTTTCTACACAGCATAAGTACATCAATATGTATCAGAAAATTTAATAAAAATTGGGGGTGATTTCAGAGCCATTTTACAGCTAGTCACAGTATAGTAGTAGCTTACCTTTTCATGTAATATGGCTGAAGCTAAATCACATACTGCATATATATTCTACAAATGATTGATTGCCATGGTAACAGTAAACCACACCCATTAATCAAACCTTATTGATTTCAAGATCATCGGGAGATTGTGCATCAACGTACTGCTTGATCAGCTCAAACATCTTACCAAGGAAGAGGTAATTGTCAGCTTTAGATATTAGGGGCTCAATATAGAACAATAGGCAACTGAAAGAGAGAGAAAGAAAAGGGAAAGAATTAATAACAAATGATAATACAATATTGTTCTAATTTTTCATCAGGGACAAATTTTGTCAATTTTGTCAGGATGCTTCGCTTGACAAAATCATCCACATTTTACTGCAAGAAAAAGAATACTTTGACAAAACTATTCCACAACAAAAACCCAAAGCTACTGCTATACAGTAATAATGACACTATAAAATACATGTATACATGTACATACATATACACCATAGGCCTATGGTGGTCGGGACAACCACCTCAACAAATGAACCAACCAGTTCATCACTTAGACCAACCATCCAATTAATACTAATAGCCATACATAAAGCATGATATTGTAGTCTACTAGTATGGTGTACATAAATTTAAAAGGAACAATATTAGTCTCCAACCACCTCTAATTTTTTTCTAGGCAGAACCCTGCATACATGTAACATACATATACATGTACATGTACATGTATAACTCACTCTCTGCATGTTAGAAGTGATTTGTGATTGATCCGACTGAATGATGGATTGTGTGCCAGGAGGTATATTACAAAAGGTACTGAGTATTCCGGTAATATTGAAACTGGATAATTAGAGTTAGGCAGTTTGAAGAGCTTCCTCCGTAATTCAATGATATCAGTAAACATCTGACGTAACTAAATAAATAAAGATAACAACTTAATATGCGAGGGATATACTTAATAATGAGATAATGCAAAGTCACAGTGATAAAGAGAATAATACACTACATCTGCATTGCATAAAATAAACTGAAAAGCTACTTTGCAATGTATCCACATGCATAATTCTTTACCAACATATCTTTATTTTGTTAACCAGGTTAATCATAAATTTTATTCATTATTGTGTTTTTGTCATTATGAAATTAGTTATTATGTATAGTAAATACTATTTTATTGCACCATTCAAAGAAATAAAATATATTACCTAATAAAATACTCAATGCTGATATAGTTCCTTTGCTAACTTGTTTACCCTATTATTGCTGAAGTAAGTACTTATTGTGCTTATCAGTGGCTATGATTGTATTTTACTAATTACAATAAATACTGTCAATTATTACAACAAGTTTATACCGTACTACTCAAAACAAGATGGATTCTGTAGGGGAGTATTTTGTAATTTTCATTATTGTACCATCCATCATTGCTATTATCTCAGGAGTCACAGTAGGATTGGTAGGTTGCAAGGTTATTGCACCTGACAAGCTGGTTAGAATCATATATCCTTATATCAGGAAGAATGGTAACAATACTGTAGTGTTTGGATATATATTAGGGAAAGGTCACATTCACGCGTTCTTATGGGGAGTAAATTTCATAATTTATCAAGTAACATTGACATTTTGTACCAACATCTTAATAACATATAAAAACAGCAACAACCTATTTTCAGCCACCAGTCATGAGTTCCAGTGTTTTTATGATAATGGTACAATAGCTAACTTAACTGCTATAGAAAGGCTGGAACTAGATGAGGACATAACTTGTTTTGCTATTAATTATAACATAGCAGGAGCAATGGGTCAAGCCACAGGTGCACTGGCACTGGGATGGGTCATAACATCTGTAGTTACATGGGTATCGCTAAATGTGAGTCACACTATCATAAAATGTATTAAAAAAAGTAAAAGAATGTTCAACTGCTATAAACTGTTTTTAATCATTATTTGGATTACTACTTCATTGACACTTTTTATCGTGCCAAAGGTCATAATAGCACTCTATTACAATAGACAATGGCTCCTTTATGTCTTTAGACCAGAAAACGGAACAATAATTGTAATCATTGAAGCAGTGTCACATACACTTTATACTGACATTAGAAAAGAGCCCATAAGTCTAGAGGAATGTTGCAGTAAAACAATGAAGACACAACAAAAAGCAGAAATGAGTAGACAAAGAGGCTATGAGAGGACTCAGTTAAAGAGAAGGAAACGATTGATACTAAGAGAAATGGCTGAACAAGAATGCAAGAGAATGATAGCTTATGAAACTGCAGTTGATATTAATGATGAAGAAGAAATAATGAACATTGTACTGACAGCATATCACAATATAATGGAATATAATGGAGACAGGGAGGAGGTGGAGCTGAGGACTATTAATGGATCTATTGAAGATGATGATAAGACTATTGAAGAAACAAATTTTGGGCCAGAATCAGAGCACAATCCACTACTAACAATACAAAATACACAAGAAATATCATTATAGTATATCACACATGCCAGTGATATTAACTAAAACGGCTACCTTATATACTTGTACTGGTGCTATTATTATTATTATTGTCTTACATTTGCTTTACTTGTTACTTTCTATTAACTTAGTTATTTGCTTCACTATTTATTTACTCAAAATTATTACTTTGAGGTGAATTTTATGATTATGCAAATGTTGTCAAAGTAAATTAAGATAAAATTGTATGTGGTTTATCATTCTGCAAGCTTGCTTCTTTGTCACTAAAATTGCATTTCTGCTATTACAAATTAATAGTAATAAATATCATTGACTATTGCATCATTCAATGACATAATGCTAAGTCAGTCACTCATAAAGAACATCAAAAGAAACTAGATTTTAAATTTATCCATAATGAATAATAAGTGCTTTAATGAGTGTGTTTGCTGAGTGATACAGCATTACATAATGCTGAATAAGCCTATGAATTTATATTAAAATTAATTAATATCATTAACTATTGCATCATTCAATATGAGACAATGCAAATGAAGCCAGAGAAAAATTTTACCACCTACATGTAACTTCATGTACATAACATCACATATAAGAAATCTTCAATAATTATAATATTAAATCTATTATATTATTAATTATAATATTAAATCTTCCTTGCTTGCTTACTGCTATTAGCATTATTACTAGCATTTACGCAGTACCATTATTGCTAAATAGGATTCACTCCACTTCAAAAAGGCTCATGACTTTTGCTACTTTGCTATTATTATTATTATCATTATTATTCAATGTTTTGTTGATACGTTGCTAAGTAATTATACTTCTTTGATACGTGTGATCTACACGTTGCTATAAAATTGATACGTGTAGCTAAAAAAGCTCAAAATCGATTTAGGAAAAAATATTATAAAGATGGAAACAATAAAGATATTCTTCATGACGTTCATTGGAATACCACTTCTCCTCGCTGCTATTTCAGGAGCCATAGTGCTAGTTGTAGGCTGCGGTGTTATTAAACCAGATAAAGTGGTAAGGATCATGTTTCCTTACATAAGGAGAAATCACGAAAATAAAACTGTAGTCTTTGGCTTCGTACTAGCAAAATCTCACATTAGAGGACTCTTCTGGGGAGTTCTCTTAATTGTGGTCCAGGTTATATGGACATTCTGGTATAATGTTCTCATAATATATAAGAACGACAAAAACCCGTTTTCGGCCACCAGTATCGAGTTGGAGTGTTTTTATGACAATGGAACAATAGCTGAATTAACAGCAATAGAAAGGTTGGAACCTGATGAGGACATAGTTTGTTTTGCTATTAACAATAACGTTGCTGGAGCAATGGGTCAAGCAACAGGAGCACTGGCATTGGGATGGGTCGTAACGTCTGTAGTTACATGGGTCGTATTACATGTAAACTACTGGATTATACAGCGTATTAAAAAATTTAAAAAAATGCTTCGTTGCTACAAAATCTTTCTATTAGTCTTCGTCATACTTATTGGTTCGACGAGTTTTTTTGTCCGAAAGGCAATGATTGGATTCTACTATCATACACATGAATGGGTCCTACAACTGGAAAATGCAATAATACTCGTAATTATCGAAGCAGTGACCCATGTACTTGACACCAATATAGAAAAAGAGGGACAAACCGAAATAGTGGAAATGCAGAATGCACCATTAACCAATAAAGAAGATGAAACAAATTGCTAATACATGTAATTGTACATGCACCTTTACACTTTATTTACACTCAATGCTGTGTTTATTAGTTTCCCTTGCTTGTTTACCCTATTATTTTGCTATTATTCATAAATGTCTTGCTAAGTCATAGTGGCCTATGAAATTTTTTATTTTTTATAATAATAAATATCGTTAATTATTGCATCAGAACAAGTTTATTGTACTGCTCAAAACAAGATGGATTCTGAAATGATGTATTCCACAATTTTCCTATGTATACCACCAATCCTTGCTGTTATCCCAACAGTCATAGTGCTATATGCAGTTGTTGGTCGTCGTGTTCTTACTCAAGATAAAGTGGTGAGGATAATGTTCCCATATATCAGAAGGAGTGGTAACAATACTGTAGCATTTGGGTTTATATTAACAAGACAGCAAATTTATGCACTCTTCTTGGAAGTGTGTGGTATTATTTTTTATATAACATGGACATTTTGGGCTAATATCCTTATAATATATATAAACAACAACCTATTTTCAGCTACTAGTATTGAGTTACAGTGTTTTTATTATAATAATGGTACAATAATAGCTAACTTAACTGCTATAGAGAGGCTGGAACTAGATGAGGATATAACTTGTTTTGCTATTAATTTCAACATAGCAGGAGCAGCAGGTCAAGCAACAGGAGCATTAGCACTGGGATGGGTCATAACGTCTATACTCACATGGATTGCACTGAAAGTGAATTACAAAATCATACAACGTGCCGAAAATAGCAAAATAAAGCTCATATGCTATAAATGGTTCTTAATCATTATTATATGTATTATACTCATACTTGTTGTTGGGTCAGTTTATATCGTAATAGGACACTTTGACATGTATGATATCGATATCAATTGGCTCCATTACATCTTAAAAATAGAAAATGCAACAATACTTGCAGTTTTATCAGCAGTTTTATGTATATGCTTGGTTACAGCTACTGACATTAAAAAAGAGTCTAAAAGTCTTGAGGAACATTGCAGAGAAACAATGAAAAAAAAGAAAGAAAAACAAAAAACTGATGCAGTTAAAAGCTCACTCATAAAAATAGCAAAGCATAAATATATGGAATTATTAGCTGAAGAAATGGAATCACAATTTAATGAGAACACAATGGAAGGGATTGCTATAATAGCTTTTGCTGAAATAACAACAGGAGTCAAGTACAAAAATATTCTACCAAATCACCACACGTCCACGGCCACTGAACAAGAAAACCCACGCACTGAACAAGAAAACCCATCAACTGAACAAGATACACCCACTGAACAAGACAATACAGCCACCGAACAAGACACACCCACTGAACAAGAAGACACGCCCATTGAACAAGAAAACCCACCTACTGAACAAGAAGACACGCCCATTGAACAAGAAAACCCACCCACTGAACAAGAAGGGGTACCTCTTGTTGTAACAGTAGATGTACACACTCCACAAGAGAATGAGGAGACAAGTGTATAACTATAACTATTAATTAATAACAATAATTCACAAAGTACTTGTACTCTTAATCTTTAACAATGTACATGTAACTTCACATGTAGTGATATTTATTAATGTAACAGTACTTGATATTATTATTTTGTGGTAAGGTATGCAAATATTGCTAAATTAATTTTTGATTTTGAGTAAATAATACTAGTTATTTTGTAATTTTAAAATATAACTGATTTCACAATTACAAGACACAATGTACATTAAAGAGTGTAGTCTATTGCTGCATCATCAGCTAGTGAATACATGTACATATAATGAATATAGGTTCGTCTTAAGTGCTGAATCATTCTAGCATACACAGAGAAGAAGAGAGTATCAATAAAGATGGCTGTGATGTCAGAGTGGGCAATGTGCTTCTTTTTGATGATTCTACTTTTAATACCAATAGTCTCTTTTGCTATCACATTATTAATGTGCTGTACTCTACCTCTAAAACGAGATGAATTTGTGAGGCTCATATTTCCTTATGCTAAAAGAAAGGGTAACAATACCGTCATGTTTGGCTTTATATTGTCAAAATATTATATAAATGTGCTCTATCTACTCATAATGGGGATCATTTGTATGGCCATATGGACATTTCCGTCTAATATATTCCTCATGTTGATTAACACACCTAATCCACATGAAGCCACCAGCATTTCATTTGGTTGTTATGCTGATCAAAAAAAGGCAAAGATTTGCTTTGAATTTAATTATAATTTTCCAGGAGCATTGAATGAAACAACCCAAGCACTAACATTTGGATGGATCGTCACATCTATACTTACATGGATTGTACTGAATGTGAATGACAAGGTCATACAGCGTATTAAAAATAGTAATACCGGTAACAGTGAAATAAACCTACAACGTTATCAATGTTGGTTAAATCGTGGTAATTTTATTATTCGTGCAGCAATCATAACTCCGGTATTTATCATGGCTTTCAAGTGGCTTATTTATGATGAGAAAGAGTTGCTCCTTTATATTATAACACCAAAATATAACCTAATATTAATGATGATAAGCACAGCTTTTACATTAGATACTAAAATTAGAAAGGAACCAGAAAGTTCGTATAAAGGAACAATACTGAGACAAATAGAGGAAGCAGAAAGAGGACAACCAATGGAAATGAAACACACGATGATCAAAGAAATGGCAAAGATGAAGTGCATCAGGCTACTGGCTAGAGAAGCAGCTGCGGGTTTAGATGAAAGAGAAGTGGAGAACATTGTTATTACAACTTTTAATGAGATAATGGAGAGTCACAGAGAAGAAGAATCCACTACCTAATATCATGTACATAATAGTGACAACATTATATACTCAATGCTGCATTAGTTTCCCTTGCTTTTTTTACCCTATTATTTTGCTATTATGTCTTGCTGAGTCATAGTGGCCTATGAAATTTACTTTTTATAATAATAAATATCGTTAATTATTGCACCACAACAAGTTTATTGTACTGCTCAAAACAAGATGGCTTCTGAAATGATGTATTTTCTATTGTTCTTACTTGTATCACTAATCCTTTATGCTATCACAGCAGTCATAGTGCTAATGTTTGGTTGCTATATTCTTACTCCAGATAAAGTGGTGAGGATAATGTTCCCATATATCAGAAGGAGTGGTAACAATACTGTAGCTTTTGGATTTATATTAACAATGGGTCACATCTATGGACTCTTCTTTGCAGTATGTTGGATTATTGGTGCAGTAATATGGACATTTTATGCTAATATTTTAATAAAATATAAAAACAACAACAACCCATTTTCAGCTACTAGTATTGAGTTAGAGTGTTTTTATGATAATAATGGTACAATAGCTGAATTAACTGCTAC